TCCAGTAGTTAATTTTGGAATTAGTACTAAATAACCACCCTTATATGATAAATAGAATTATTTAAAGGTTGAGTTACTTGTCTAAATTTTGAGAGAATTTAGATAAAAAATTAAAATATGTTAAGCGAATTTAAACATAATTTTTATGTCCATTTAAATTTTGGATAGAACCTTAGACAAAAAATTTAAAATCCGAACCTGATCCGAATTCATATATATATATATAAATTATATATATATGTGAATTATATATAAATTAATTCAAAGTATATAAAAATTAAAAATAAAATTATATATACTTTATTAAACTTAATTTTTAAAACTATATAATTTTTATTTTTAATTTATATATATGTGAATTAAATATAATCTCATTAAACTTAATTTAAATATTTTTTAATTTTTTATTATATAAATTAAATTTAATGAGTGAGTTTAGAATTTATTTTTTTAATTTGAATCAAACTTTGAAAATTTTAAGACTTGAAATTTTGAGTTAGATCAAATCTAAACAAATATATAAATTATTAATACTAAATATGAATTTAATCTGAACCTGACCTGATTTGATTATGAATATCTCAATTGGTAAATAACCACGATAACTTCCATTTAAAATATTTCTTCTATAATACTAAACTCTACAGTTAATAACTCCTAAGCTTAAACTCCAATATTTTCTGGCCCATAACATTTAATCCCCTTTTCTTTAAAATATTAATCTCTCGTTGTTTCTTTTGTTATTCCAGAATGGTTGTTGCAGCCGCCAGAAACTGTGGATTCAAATTCAAGAATGCAACATTTTGGACGGTTCCAAAAACGGGTTTGGTACTTTGGTTAAGAAAGATGGCAATTGCATTGTATGGAAGAATCAGCCACATATTCTATGCTTCGACTGTGATCGATGCAAGGAAATATTTGTTGCAGATATCAGAAAGAATGCAATGTACTTTGGTATATCCCTAGCTTTTGAACTTGTATTCGTTGTGATCACCTATTCCGTTGGATGCTATGCCAAGAGGAACAATGAAAGGAGATTCTACCCTGGTTAACTAGAAGCATTTTTTGATTACTATGTGCAGAATATTGGATGTAAAATGGAGAAAATTCTATTGAGGAACAGGAAGATTGAATGGTTGATTGTACTGATCATATGACCTAGAAGAAGATGTATATCGGTTTATCTGTATAAAGTTAAAGTACCTGTGCTTGTTGCTCAGTGAATATAAAGAGACATTTATCTGCAAAACGTGCCAATTTAAACCCTATTCAAGATCATGGACATTAATCCTTGTCAATCAAATTTGCATGAAATTTGATTTCGCAATTGATTTTCATTAGCTTTCACTCTTGATTTTTGAAAGGAAAATCATTGATGGCTTCAGGCAAACAAAAGTAGGAATCATTTGACAGGGATGAAAGGGTGGTCCTTGACATTACCTTATCTCTATTTAATTTTTCTGTCTCAAGTGACTATCTGAATTGGCGTCATACCAAAACACAAACTCATTCTCCAAGTTATTGTATTAAGCTGAATAGGATACCAGAATTTCAGAATATATTTTTGTCTTTTCTTCTGAAAATCATTAGTGGTGGCATTTTCTTTCATTGCATTTTTCACTGGGAAATATGATAAAATTGCTATAGTTGGCAATTGTTAAATGTTCCAAAATCCTGCTAAACAGTTTCTATAAAAGAGATAGAGACAAATTTCACCAGAACCGAGAGTAACATAAACGAAAAGGACGCCATGAACAGAGATAACTATGCATTGTGGCTAATATGTTCATTACGTGGATTTAATTAATTTCAAATTTCGAATTGTCTAAAATTAAATTAATCAAATTAATTTATTTTATTTTTATTAATTAAATTAAATATATTAATTTTAAAAATTAACAAACTTAAACAAAATTTACTTTTTCACCTGTGCATTTGCTCTACAAATACTAAATGCTACCTAACATTACTAAAAATAATGATACTTAAGAGCTTGTTAAAACTATATAGAGATTAAGTCCAACTATTATAACAAAATATATTAGTGGGTAGGATATGGGGTAATTAAAGTATTCTTCTTTCTCATTTTTCTTTGTTCTATATTATATTTTTTTTCGTACTTATATTTAATGAATATTTTAAATTTATTTTTATTTTCATAAATTTTAGTGAATATAAATAATTTTTATATTTATAATTTTTTTAAAAAAAATTAGTTTTTTAAAATTTTTATCTTATACATTTATGTAATTTTTTTATAAATATATATTTTAAATACAAATTAATTTTAATTAATTTAAAATAAAAATTATATTATTAAAATAAAAAATTAATTTATTAAATATATGTAAATATTTAAGATACGAGAATAAAAAAAATATTATATTATTCATCTTATATTCATACTCAATAAAAAATTTAAAATTATATTCCTCATCATCTCTATCTCCAAATTTAATATTTATTTTCATTTTCAATAAAAAATTAAATTTTGTGTCAGGATTGAATAAAATTTACATGCCTGTTATCAAATTGATACTTTCTTCCAAGGAAAAAAACTGAGCTGAATGAGCCACCACAAACATCCTCAGCAGATAAGACCAAATCCATTTGGGATAGAGTAGGACCAATTCTTGACAGAAGAGGATTCGTCAACCGACTTGTCATGTCTCATTTTCTCTCTCCTGGACGACAGAAACCAATCACAAGAACTTGTTTTCCGATAAAGCAAAGCAGAAATCCTCAAAATCATTTTAAAAAAAAAAAAACAAAACTAAAGACAGCACATCCCAACACAATGACAGCTTGCATTGCCATCATAATCTTTGGTGCTCTAAATATTTTGTCTTATGATTGAAGCTTATGTTTGAGTATAAAATGATGAATAAAATAATATAATAATTATTTTATATTATATTTAATTTATATTTAATTAAAAAATAAGATTATAAGAAGAATTATTATTTTTTATATATAATGATTTAATTTTTTCAAAAATAAAAAAAATTATTTTTAATCTATTAAATTAAATTTATATATTTATTATATTTTTAAAAATTATATTAATAATTTAAATTTATAAACTTTTAAAAAAGATAATTTTAATTAATAAATAAATTATTTTATTTTAATTTTTGTACACATATTAAATAAAGATATGATGATATTATTTAATTTAATTTTATTCATAATATTATTTTATTATATCTTATTATAATTTTATGTATCAAATATGATCAAATTGTGTATGATCATTGGTTTGGTGATATATTTACATGTTGAATGGAGTACAGATTTGTGCACATTTTGAGGGCTAATGTCTGCCTATGGATCATTTCCATTATCCTAATGATCCTGTGGGTTTTGATATTTCCTTTCTTTGCCAGTTATATGTTCCTTACAACTCGTTCAAGTGCAGAACAGACACATCAAAGTTGGTTAAAGTTTAAACCATAATGTTTCGAATGGGAAATACTGGGCCTGCAACAAGGACTTGTTATGTTTGCCAGGGAATAGTAAGTAAAGCTAAGAATTTACAGGAATTTCAGTTGGAGAAAACAAGGCGTCCTATACAGGTAAGTTGATGTAATTCTTTAATCTCTTTTTTTTTTTCTCATAACTCTTCTGTTAAATCATCTTGAAATTACAAATTTATCTTGATTTTATTTTTCCAGAATGGTTGCTGCAGACCACCAGAGTACTGTGAATTTGAGATCAAGAACGCTACATTTCGGACACCTCCCAAAAGAGGTGTGATTAAGGGAGATAGGAATTGCATGGCATAGAACAATCAGCCAGATATTCAATGCTTTAATTGTGACAGATGCAAGGAAACAATTGTTGGAGATCTGAGGAAGGATTCAAGGTGCATGGCTATTGGCCTCACCTGCAAACTTGTGCTGCTCGTGGTCGACTCGTCTGCATCCTTGGTTGCTGTGTGAGGTTTAACGATAATAAGTGATTTCTGAAGGGGTGAAGGGGGGAAATGTTAGTTTGGGGGGCAAACACCACAAAGGACTCCTAACTTTGACACCGACGTAGATATGAAATTGTTCCATGATTTGTTTAAAGTTGTGCATGTTCATTCTTTGTAATTAGAAATTCTCTTGACTTAATTGATTTTGATATCTTTAAACATGTTAATATATTTTTCTCAATCATTAGATAAATATTATAATAAAAATGTTAAACATATATGTGTATTTTTTTCTCACAATAATTTTTTAACTTATAAAAAAGAAATCATCCTTTTTTTTTAAAATATCATCACAAAAGAAATTATGTGTATACATATGCCCTACTCTCTTTGCTTTCTCTTAACTTGTTCATGAATGAGGCTGTCCTGGCATGTACAACAAAATCTTCAAAAAGCCCAAATAATGTAGGTTACATGACGAGAAAAAAACACCCTTTTTGCCTTTCAAAAATTTTAGAGATCTTCATTTAAACTTGGACCGAGTCGCTAGCTTTGTCCATTCACCTCATCATACAAGAAAAACAAAAGGAAAAAGGGGGGAAATTTTTACAACAATCAAAGCCAACTTATTGCATTTTTAATAAAACAACACATGGTAAATCATTTTTCCTTTTTCCTGCAAACTTCTTTTTATTTTTCCACTCTCAAACATGCCATCTCGTGCCATCTTTTTGGCCAAAAGAGTGGGACAACGAAGGAAATTTCTCTCTTGGCAGCCACTCCGGGAAGAGGCCATGCATATCATCTCCTATAACTAGGCCTGTTTTCAACCCCCTCCTCATGTCTTTCTCATTCCACCCTCTTTTTTCTTTCCTTTTCTTTACCATTAGCAAATAAATGATATTTTATTTTTATGGTCTTAACTGCAAATTTTTTCCTTGTACTCTTTTACATTTCAAGTCTAAAAACACCCATGTTTTCTCTGCTTGTTTGCTTGAAAATACACCATTCCTCTCTGTAACCAAAAAAAAAAAAAGGGGGGGGGGGGGGGCTGCATTCTAAACAGATAGTTGAGAAGGAAAATATGGGGGAAAATTCGTTGGAAAAAAAATCAGGTTGTGGGATATTGAATGCTGTATTTTGGAAGCGTAATTTTTGGCTTAGAAAGTCTACTTCTACAGGTTCATTGCCTATCAAAGACAAAACAAATGTTAAAACAGCAAATTCAAACACAAAAAGACGGCTGGGTGGTTCCAATGAGGCTTCCTTTTCGGCGAATCCGCCAAAACCCTGCACGAAACCGTCTCCAAATCATCCTAAGCTCCCTGGGGTACATCAACAAAACCAGGTTCGGAAACCTCCTGATGAAGCAACCAGAACAACCCCTAACCAGGGATATGTCAACCATGGTAGAATGGTGCCTAAAGAAGCAGTCAGTATCTCTGGTGAGCTCGAAAGCATGATAGTCGATCATCAAAAAACAAAAGGAAACAGCAATCTTGTTCGAGCGTCATCGAGTAATATGATGCTTTATGGCAATTTAGGCAACTTGATGAGGCAACCTGGAGGAGGAGGAGGAGGAGGAGGAAACACAAATTCATATAACTTTTTTGACCAACTCCCTATGACAGCAAGAGAGGCAGCCTCAACGCCTAATGGGAAATATCCGAACAGTGTAATGGGAAATGTGGTGAAGAAACCGGTTGAGGAAAAGCGTATGGAAGAGCAACCAGTTTCTCTATGCAGAGCTCTTTCTACAAGAATGGACCCTGAAACGTTGAAAATTATGGGCAATGAAGATTATAAGAATGGCAATTTTGCGAAAGCCTTGGCTTTGTATGAAGCGGCCATCGCCATTGATCCAAATAAGGCTTCATACCGAAGCAACAAAAGTGCAGCCTTAGCAGCTTTAGGCAGGATTGTTGAGGCAGTTTTTGAGTGCAGAGAAGCCATTCGAATTGAACCTCATTATCACAGAGCTCACCATCGTTTAGCAAACTTATATCTCAGGTAAAAAAATAGTTGTTTATAGGAAACGGAATTCTTCTACATTTAAACAATCTTTAAGCCCAACATCAATGTTCAAGTCTGTATTTTCTGCTGATATAATTGTACAGATTAGGGGAAGTGGAAAAGGCAATATATCACTACAAGCATGCAAGCCTTAAGGCTGACCGTGATGACATTGCTAAAGCTAAAACTCTTCAGACACATTTAAACAAATGTACTGAAGCTAAAAGGCTACGAGATTGGAACACCCTGCTCAAAGAAACAGATTCAACCATTAATGCGGGTGCAGATTCCGCTCCACAGGTGCTCCAAATAATCAAACCGGTCCATCAAAATTTAGCATTATGATCTGTCTGTGTAAAATATGTAACTTGTGTTTCTTTTTGTTAAGATATATGCATTGAAAGCTGAGGCCTTGTTGAAGCTCCACAGACACCAAGAGGCCGATGAGGCATTATTGCAAAGTCCAAATTTCGATGGTGATTACTGCAATAAGTACTTTGGCCCAATCGGTAACGCGAATTTGCTAGTTGTTCGAGCTCAGGTGGACATGGCTGCCGGCAGGTTAGTGTTGTATTTACTACTACTATTACCTACTATAAAATTGAGTCAGGAAAAGTACTGTTTGAGATAAAATGTAGACAAAAAATATGAGTCTATGGATAAAGGAGAGAGGATAGAGCAATGTAGAGACTTTGTAATCCTAAGCTTAATTAATGTTGAAAAGCTCCGACGCTAAGTCAATAATCACAAAGTAAGAAGAAATGGGAAATTGAGTAGGATGAGTGATCACTTTTATCTGAATTGAGAAGGACATTTATATTTGAGGAAGATGTGATCGAGTCTAAATGATCCGATATATGAAATTAGACTTTTAGCCAACGTCGTGTGATTTGATCTGATATTCCGTGTTAATTCTCAATGTTCGAGTGTCCCTTAACTTTCTCGCACGGTGTTTAGTGGGCTGCTGTGCCGAGTCACTCTGTGTCAAAGTAAAAGACTATATTGCTCTTAGGAACGCAAAATACCCCCATCAAGAGCCATGCAGGAAAAATACTGTTTGAGATGAAATGTGGACAAAAAAGTGTAGGGGTCTATGGATAAAGGAAAGAGGATAAAGAGTATAGGGAGTCTGTGATCCTAGGCGTAATTAATGTTGAAAAACAACTCAAAAGGCAAATTCTTGCTGAAAAAAGAGGAACCAAAGAATGTAAAAGGTTAGAGCTGGCAAAATTTGACATTTACCTATCAAATGGGGTTAAATTTGCACAAAAATGATTGGGTTTTGGGTTAATTGTCTTGTTTGTTATGACTGGGCACCGACTTCCCCACATTTTTTTATTCCTTTATTCTTTTTTATTTACTTTTTGACACCGAATTGGTAATTTCTAGTTAAGTTCAACTTTGTTTTTGATGTGTGAAAATTATTATTAAGATACAGATTGTTTTAATGTGGGTTGACTTTGTAATTTTTTATTATCAGTTTTTGAAAACTAAGGTTTTAATGCTAACACTAACAGCTTGGCAAATAAAATTCGAAATGAAACATTGAAGAGAAACGAAGATCAGAGCCTCCAAGTTTCATTGAGCTGAAACCAAAAACTCTGCCATGAGTGCTAACTAAATATATTTAGCTACGCATGCCAGCTGTGCCTTCATATTTTCTAGTGTTTGGCTCTTAATTCACAGCATAAAATAGGTTGCATAAGTTGAACCTTTATTTACATGTGGGGTCCACGCCGGGCACAATTGAAGCAACACCAAATCTTTGGCTGGATCGTTACAAAAACTAAAGGCAGTTATAGAAATGCCAAGAAGATTTTGTCTTATAATATATTATATATTTAGAGACGGAATTAGAGACGAAAATAGGTCGGAGTGAGTTTTTATTTTTTTTAAATTTGATTTGATTTTATATTTTTAATATTTAAATTCGTTTTAATTTGATATATATTTTTTATATTTGAATTTGATTTGATTCGAAATTAATAAAATATTATTTTTAAATATAAAATATTATTTTTAATATAAATATAAAATTAAGTAAATATATAAATATAAAATTAAATAATTAATTAAAATTTTTTTTTATATTTCATGTCAAATTGAATTTACTTAAAATTCGATTCCAACCCGATTCGAATTTTTTTCATACTATTATCTAATTTGATTCAATTTAAAATTTAATTTAAAAAAAAATCTTAAAAAATTCAATTGGGTTAAAATCTATCGATGATGGATTAGGCTGTCATCTCTATATATATTTGTCAGGCATGTTATATAAACACAAAAAAAAAAAGAAATATAAGGGCTTAATTTTATTAGTTTTTTAAAATAACGGATAAATTTATTATTATAAATTTTTTGAATGATCTTTCGAATAATATTGTTAGGCAACAACTAATGTTTTTTTTTTTTTTTATGATTTTCTGAAGATTTGATGATGCATTGGCGGCGATTCAGCGAGCTGTTAGGCTTGACTCGAACAGTAAAGAAGCAAATTGTGTAATGAGGAAAGCTAGAGCAGTGGCAGCAGCTCGATCAAATGGCAACGAGCATTTCAAGGGATCAAAATTCTCCGAAGCATGTGTTGCATACGGCGAGGGGCTTGATCATGACCCACACAACTCCGTCTTGTTGTGCAACCGAGCAGCTTGTCGATCCAAGCTTGGCCACTTCGAAAAGGCAATAGAGGACTGCACCCATGCCCTTAACGTGCGCCCTGGCTACAGCAAGGCTAGACTAAGAAGAGCTGATTGCAATTCCAAGGTGAGACTATGAAAACTTGCAACTCATTTTTACATGATTAATAGTTAGAATAGCTAATATTGGTCACAATTACACAGGCCTGTGGGCTGAACAGGCTGGGCCTTAGGTAGAAATTTGCAAGCTCCGGTCGATCCCAGCTTAAGATACCATCTAATTTTGTTTAATTTTAATTTTCAAAATATTTAAAATATTAGTATAAAAATACCTTTTTAATATTTTATGAATTTTAAAGTAGTATCAGACCTAAATGAATTGGTTTGGATGGGCTGGACTGGACTCATATTTGCCATCTAGAGGTGCCAATTGGACCTAGTCTGATTGAGTCCATGAACACCTAATCACAATTAACAACTCATGGTTCCCATTTCACAATATTTTATACATTAAATTGTAGATATATAAATCTATGATCATTAATAATTAATTAATCAATTACAAATGAAGTTGTTCATAAGCCGATCCAAGTTAATTCCGATCCAATGGACATCTCTGAAAATAATATTTTAGTTGCTTTCAAAAAAAAAAAAAAAAGAAACTAATAGTTAACTTCATGATTAATCAATTGGAGTGAATCATGCATGTTTGGAACCGCACCTTAGATTTGGGAAAAAAAGCCGCGCGCTAGAATGACAAAATTAGGGATAATGCTAGAGGCTGAATTGAATTATTTATAAACAGATCTTTAAATAATTGTGTTGCATATAGAATGAGTTCAATAATCTAATAATGTTCAACTGGATTTCTGTAACAGTTGGGGAAATGGGAAGCTTCGATACAAGACTACAAGATCTTGCAAAGGCAAACACCCGACAACGAGGAGGTGAAACGGGGCTTGTCCCATGCTCAAATGCAACTCAGGAAACAACATGCTGCATGGTGAAGTTGCATAAGACAAGAAGAGTACGGTGGAGCTTGATGAACACGAAAGATATGGACCAGACATGGAGAAAAGAGAAAGAAATGCCCAAAGGTAGCGATGAAAAAAAGACAGAGCAGCCAGCAGCCAGGGTATCATGATACTGTTGCCTGTACGTTGGCAGCATATTTGAAGTTGGGGCTTAAATGATTATCTGGGATGAAAAAAGTTGCTTTGTTATTGTGAGGAATTTGAAAGGGGAATTTTGAAACTGTACATAGAATGTGACATTAACAATTTGATAATATGTGTGTATATTCTGTTAAATGATTTACTTGATGTCGCATTTGAAAACTACTACATCAGTTTCAGCTTCCTTAGTCGTCAATTACTCAATCTAAGTATATATTTTTCTAAGATAGCATTTGCGATTTTTAGTTTTTTTGTCTTTCGGGCAAAGGTTACAAAGTTATAGGATTGGCCTTCATCTGCACAATATGGCCCACTGGTTCCACTAGCTTAACATTGGAAAAAAAAATGCACCGAGGTGAATTTTATCATTATATATTATAATTCAATATTGAATTTTTTATTGTTACACTTTAATATTTTTAATATTTTTATTATACTTTCAATTTATTGATTTTTAACTAAAGTAATAGAATAAGAATATTTTGTTAATGCAAATGATAAATTTTGTTATTATACTTTTAATTTCATTAATTTTTAGACAAAAGATAATGGAAATGAAATATTTCATGTTGTTAATACAAATGACAAATTCATCAATTACATTATTAATTTTATGTCCAAAAATAAATAACATTAAAAGTGTAATGATAAATTTTAATGAAATTAAGTATATTAGCAAAATTCAGAATGAATTTATAGTGCAATGACAATTTTGACCTTAATCCCAAAAAGCAATTGATCTTGTACACAGTGTTGGATAATAAATGTAATTCACCTTCAGTTTAGCAGCAAAAATGAATCTTTAAAATCTTGAGATCTTAAGTTCAAATCTTGTTGTGTATTGATTTAATTTTGTGTTGAATTTTTTAGTTATAATCCAATTTATTGGTTGGTTTGTATTTGGTGATTTCTCGTGGAAATTTATACTCAATTTGTAAATTATTATTTGTTTTAATTTGAAGATCTCACGATTTTTTTATCATAAAAAGTACCTCACAAGTATGAGTTTAATTTTTTTTTTTTTTATATATCAAAATAAATCCTTAGAACATGTGAAGGATTGATTGGGGAGTCACATTCTTTATAATGAATGTAATGTTTGATTATAATTTTTGCTCATAAATTTATTAGAAAAGAAATGGCATTCACCTTGTTATACTAAAAAAAAAAGGTTATATAACAATTAAATCATATTCAATTCAATATAAAAGGTTGTAGTGAAATTATTGATGAAATGTTTTTCTTTTTTTCAATATCTATCAAGAGTCTAAAAGAAAAAATAAAGATTTAACTGTTCTTAGTTCTTACTAGTGATGGGACCAAGCCATTTAGATTTACACAACATTTTTTAAAGGTATTTTGTATTACTTTCTTGACCTGCAGTTGGTATGGCAATTAAAGTTCTACCCCTATTTTTTTTGGTTTTTACGTTTTAAATATTTTTCTCCATTTAGTTGGAAAAAACACTTCTTCAATCAGCACAACCGGTAGAAATTAATTAAAAGCTTGTTGATGACAAAATTGACAGTACTCGAGGAGTTGTGATTATGAAATTTGGATGATAGCAGGCAATTTCGAAGTAATTTCGAAAGCCAGTATAATGAAAGATATTCTATATGTGAAACATTGTTAGTGGCTTTTAGCTGAAGACTCTTTCAAGTAAATATTTACCCTTTGGATCAGAAATGCAAGTCTTTTGCCTTAGGCAACCTTAATTACTACTTTTTTTTTAATATTTAAGATTATCCGGATTGAAACTCTAATCATTAAAATTAAGAATTAAAACACTTCATAAATAGTCATGCGATTGATTGTTAATTACCAATTAATATATACTTAATACTGTATATATTGTCTAGCTGTACACGCAAACTGAAAGGCAACATTTGCTTGGTGTTTGTATTATATACTTATGATTTCTCATATTTCTGTAATAAACGTGTTAGCTTCCTGTTCAAAATATCGAAAGATATCATATATTTGAATAATGGCATGTGGATGTTTTCCCAAAGAGTATGCACTTTAGGAAATGCCTTTTGGAATTGCAAACCTGATGTAATAATTGAGTAATAGAGAGACATACAATTTCCTCACGTATCACCTGGCTAGCTCAAGCTCACAGACGGAATGCAGAATTGCAAACCTCATGTAAGCCAGATTCTGAAATTGAGCATCGGATCACGAACGCCATTTAATCAAACAACTTATGAAATTAAATGTTGGAATCTGTTATTATATTAGACGGATTCTAGACAGAAAGAATGAAAGAGAAAAAAAAAAAAAACACTTCCCAACATCACCTTGGGACTATTCATCAAAATAATAACAAATAAATAAATAAATCTTTTGGGCCTAAATAACAACATCAAATACTAATACAAAATCATATAATACTCCAAATAAGAAATATCAAATGACATAAAAATTAAAAACAGAAATAAATTCATGAGTATTTATCTTTTTTGAATGATCGTTCGAATTATCAAATACTTTAAAATTTTTTCAGACTTATTCCCAATATTTAATATCGAAATTTCACTTAAATAATCTGACCTGATGATCATTAACTATTACCATGACAAGTATAGAAATAACCTTATAATATCATTTAATGAGAACTAGATGCTGCCGCAAGGAGGCCTATATATGATAAGGTAACGGCAAGTGCCAACCTTTTCTTACAATTTCCATTGACAACATGATGATGAACATGGTAAATCCAACATGGCAACATCTTTGATCCAAAATTTCCCATTACATGACCAAACTGCCGCTGGTCATACAAAATCAAACCATAACCCCCCTCTAATCAGCATGATAATCCCCATTAATCATCATTATTAAAATAATAATTATTATATATTAATTAAATACAAGCCTCATCACATGCTAGAGCTGGGCTTCCGATCACGTCGATCAACAGGAAACTCCGTGGGACAATAGTTCCTCATGGCAGTGAGCTCGTAGGGTGAGGTATCGAGCGCCAACCATTGCTCCACCGTGAACTGCTGCTGGCTACAAGGCGTATGGACGCCAGTCATGGTGACTTCCACGTAGTTACAGTACCATCCATGGTGCGCACCCGAACCATCCGAGGTCAAGTTCATGGCACATATGGGAGCAGCCAAGCAATGTCCCCTACCAGAGAAAATGTCCAAATTGCCCCTCTCGTAATATTTATGTCCTGGCTCCATTAATCCACCCCAAGCTTCCAGGTTGTTGATCTCGATGAACTCACCGTAGACATCGTAGAGTCTTAGGCTGACGAGGGAGTCGGTTCCGCCTTTTAAGATGGATCCGGTTCTTATGTAGACCGAGTAAACGCAATCTTCATCGCCCTGCATGCAAGAAAAAGAGAGATAAGAGGTTAGAGATGGGGATGTGGAGAGGATTATGAGGGTTGTTGAGGGGTACTTACGGAAAGAGCGATGGTGGAGTAGGAGAGGAAGAGGAGGAAGAAAGAAAGGATCAGCGCTGTTGGGATCGCCATTGGCTTTAAATTTTTTATGCTCTGTCGTCGAGATCAAATTAAATATACTTGTTGTGTATAAATATGCATTTTTGGAGTGCACATGGCAATTTTTTTTCTTTACTTTACCTCCACCTCATTAAAAAATAAATTTAAAATTTTGAAAATTCTTAAAAATAAATACATTTATATTTTAATTATTTAACTTAAAAAAATCATTTCTTCTTCTTTTTTTTAAACAAATAACTTAATCACAACTATCTTAAAATTTTAAGTTGAATTTAACTCAAATCAACCAAAGAATTCAAACATTAACTTATTAAAATTTGCTAATTGAAAAAATAAGTCACAATGCCAACAAGTAACACTGTAATAAGAAAAGGAAATAAAGGAATAGAAATAATAGAAAAAGATTTGATTTTGAGACAAGAAAAATATTATTTTTAAAGATAATTATGCCCCCAGTATTCAATAAAATTTCAAATTCTCCAATTAAAAGTAGTAAAAATAGTTGTATTGAAAAATCTATTTGTAATGAATGAATAAACATAAATTTGTATTCAAATGGTTATGACAATTTATATAATCATGACTTATATGAACAATCATTTATTTATATTTAAATAGTCATGACTATTTGTTATATAATAATTATTTATGTTCAAACATAATTAGTCATAATATGAATAAAATTAATAAAAAAAATTAAGTTTATTCACTAATAATTAACTCTTTTTATCTAATGTGAGATACACCATAATCTAAACTACCAACAATCTTTCACTAGTTTGAAATGTTAGTGCTTAATTTTTAACTTTTCACACAAACAAATTTATGAATACAAAAAGGTATCTTTTGATTTAAACTTTCAATTAGTATATATACTTTTAAATTCTAACAAAGTTAATGGTGTTCATAGATTAAACCTTAACTCCTAGTATTGTAATTGAAGATATAACACACATCATATTTACTTATTGTTCTATAAGAGGTTTATAAGCGCTTTAATATTATTATAGTCATGTACTTATCCTATTCGTAAATATTTACAAGAGAAATTACAATTCTTCTTGTTGAAGTGGTACAACTTCTATGTTTTTATTAGTAGAGTTTTCATAATATCTCAATTTCTTTAGACTTTTAAATAATAAACTTCATTAAGAGTATAAAAAACGCATTTTACTCACGTAATGGATCACACTAGTTTCTAAAATTTGAATGGATTTTACTAGTGTTTAAAAGACACATGATAATAACTTGTTTTAACCCATTAAACTTTATAATTAAAAGTTACTAATTCAAAATTGGGTTCCTATTTTTGGTATATAATAGTAAGGGTTTAAACACATTCTATTTGTAGTACTACTAACCAAATATCTTATAATTCAATTTTCTTTTATAGTTATTACCCTCACTTGAGATTGAATCTCTAATATAATCACTTAATAGGTTAATGTGTCTATATATTTCATTGTGCATATCATTTATATGCTCTAGACATTTTTACCTCATTCTTGTTATTTTAAGAAATAATTGGTATGATTATGGCCATAACTCTATACTTATACATTTCAATCATTCTATTATCATACTTTTATACATTTTTAATACAATTATATTTCTAGTACAATTGTATAAACTCAATGAATAAACCAAGTCATTTTAGTCCTTTTAAGATATTTAAAGACCTTTTTATGATTTTACTTTAGTAAGTTGTACTAAACTTATTAGCATGTATCATTTGCTCATAAAGTTATACTACAATCTTACAATACTATGGTGACAATTTTTATTTCTTTTATCCTTATCACCCCCACCATATGCAAATATGCATTCTTTTATTAAAGAATGTTCCATTCAATTATTAAGATATCATATATACTTAATTAAGTTATCATTTCATTTATCTTTTCACTATTTGATAATTTTTTTTAAGTAGGAGCCTTCAAATCTACCCTTAGTGAAAGATAACTAGCAAATATTCTATAGCTTAATATTTCTTTTTCATAAAAGTTTCAAAAATTTTATATTTTAAGTCAATATAAGAGTTTACATGTCAATAAGTATGATGTCAAATATAATCATGCTTCTATAGTCTACTTTTGAGACTTTTATGCTTATTCCACTATAGGGGTTTTGGTTTTTAGCGACAATTTTTTTACCGTTTAGCGGTGTTTATTAACGCCACTATAAGGTTGCGGCATTTGCAAAAAAATATCACGCAGAGTGCCGCCTATACACGCGTTGCAGTAAATAGCGGCGTTTTTGAAAAATACCTCAATATTAATGGTATTTATATATGAAACACTGTCATTTTAACGGCGTTTATATCTTTCAGATGCTGCTACTTTAAAGGCATTTAAATATAAAAACAGCTCAATCTTAACGGTGTTTATATCTTTTAGTCACTGTTATTTCAGTGACATTTTTATGAGAAAAACGTCATTGCATCGATGACGTTTGAATATGAAAACATCTCAATATTTACAGCGTTTGTATCTTTTAGGAGTCGCTAATTCAATGGCATTGTTATGAGAAAAATGCCATTGGTCAAGTCATTTTTATAAAAAGCGCCACCTACCTAGCAGCGTTTGCTTGAAAGAGTGCCGCTACTTATAATGGTGTTTTATGCTACAAACGTCATTAAATTATTCATTTAGCGGCATTGCCCAATGCAAACACTGCCATTATGTAAAAATATATTTTTTTTAATTTCTTATAATAAATTTTATTTTCAATAAAGAGCTTAAATTCAGAAACTGAAATTAATATTAACTTCATTCACGTTTAAATATACATCTAATTAATATAAAGTTTAATAATTAGTATAATAACATTCAAATATTGTAAATACATTAACCAAATAAAAAATTAAAATGTATGAAATGGATGACTACATACATTTTGCTGGCTGCCAATTGATGAAAAAATTTTTTCACCTTGGTCACTAGCGTGTTCAACAACCTATCGAATAATACCATACAATTTTTAACACTTTATTGTATGCTTATTTTTTATTTAAAAATTTTAATATTTACTAAATATAATACCTGAGTTGATGGAGCACCAAGATCATTTCTTGAAAATTATCAATTGCATAAAATTCATAAGATAATCGAATCAATCATGCAACTGCTAAAATTTTACACACTCTAGTTCCATTCTAGCACGTTCTTCTTCAATTTTGGCATGATTCTGTTCTCTTTCTGCTTCAATTTGCTGAAAACGTTATTGCATAGTTTGTAACTTTCCTCTTAATATTGAAATGTCTCGTTAAGACTAACTTGCTGAGAGTGTAAATTACAGAGAGTTATGTCCATAGTAGGCAAATGGTGTTGGACCCAATCCAAGGCCTCGGACCCGTCCATGCTTTTTTTTCTAGCAACTTCTATGAATATCTGATTTTTCATTTCTTGCATGTTAAGAGAAACTTCAGATTCTACTTCAATCTCAACAGCCATTTTCTCTTTCATTTTTTCTTGTGAATTTATCATATACAACTATCAAGTTTAATGATTAATTGATTATATGTTAAAAAGAGTTAATATTTACTTTATGTTAAAATAAATGATACAAATTACTATAATTTCTTGTGTTTCGACATTCATGTAAGATCAGTTTTTTGTGTGTGTTACGCAAAAAAGTTTCACACGTCTAATTGTACCGCCTATCTCATTCTCTTATACAAAAACATATGTTATTTGATAGGATACATATCAATCGTAACTTATTTATGCATATCAATCCTGTCAATCAAGTATCAAAATTTTGAATAATTTTAATCTCTTTTATTTATATTTTGGCCCTATAACAACACAATAGTCTTAAACATATGCAAAGAATAAAAGCTGTGAAAACTTAATGTATATTGAAAAACTGCTTATTATGAATTATACAAGAATCTTAGGTTTATATACAACTAACTAGGGGTTAAACTAGGAAACTAAATCTTCCTTAATTTTAGGGATACAAATACTTAATTCTAGAGATACAAATATAAATATACAGATTACAAGATTACAACTAGCTGTAAATAAGTGTTTTTTCACACTCCCCCTCAAGCTGATGAATAGGTGTTTTTCATTCTCAGCTTGGAAATAATTCCTTGAAATGTTGCACTACTGAGACCTTTAGTCAACACATCTGCAAGTTGACCCTTGGTTGATACATAAGGTGTACAAATCAACCCACTGTCTAGTTTTTCCTTTATGAAATGTCGGTCTACTTCAATGTATTTTGTTCTGTCATATTGTACAGGATTATGTGCAATGCTTATTGCAGACTTGTTATCACAGTAGAGTCTCATTGGTCTATCTCACTTGATCTTCAAATCTTCTAAGATAATCTTTAACCATAGTAGTTCATAAATTCCTTGAGCCATTGCTCTGAACTCTGCTTCAGCACTTGATCTTGCCACCACATTCTATTTTTTACTCCTCCAAGTCACAAGATTACCACTTAAAAAAGTACAATAGCCTGAAGTGAATCTTCTATCAGTTACTGAACCTGCATAATCAGCATCTGTATATATTTTTAGAACTAACCTTGAATTTCTTTTGAATAAGATACATCTTTCAGGATTAGCCTTCAAATAGTGTAATATATAGTAGACAGCCTGTAGGTGCATTTTTTTAGGACTATGCATAAATTGACTTACCACACTCACAACATATGCTATATCAGGTCTAGTATGTGAGAGATAAATGAGTTTTTCAACTAATCTTTGGTACATCTCTCTATTTACAACAGCATCTTCATTAGCTTCTCTAATTTTATGATTAGGATCTATAGGGATATTTACACGTTTACATGTAAGCTTCTTAGTTTTCTTCAGAAGATCCATCATATACTTCTGTTGTGAGATAAATATACCATGCCGTGAGTGAGCTATTTCAATTCTTAGGAAGTACTTCAATCTCCCTAGCTCTTTTATCTCAAATTTTCTAACCAAACACTGTTTTATAGATTCTCTTTCTTTTTCATCATCTCCAGTTATAATTATATCATCAACATACACTAATAGAACTGTGACTCTCCTTGAATCA